ACTGCACATCCTAATGTTGTGTTTGCCTTTGTTATCGCTTCCGCACACTATTTGAGCAGGGGAGATAATGTCCCTGGATGTCAGGAGAGCAGCTGGAGTGTCTCAGGGGGTGACCATCCTCTGAGTGCCTCTTCCTCTCTCAGGCCGGTTGTTGAACATGGTGACTCCAGGCCTCGCACCACCAGCCAGACATGTGCAGGGTTTGGAAATGATGTGGGAGTGCAATTTTCTCTCTGCGCTTTTGGTCTTAACTGTGGCTGTGTACAAATGTGTAAGTGAATTGCATTGATGTGACACTTTTCAGCCCAATCTAACTAAACACATACCCGGTTTCATCAGAGAACTTGTTATTTTTGTTATTTATGTTTTTGGAAGTCTGGCCAGCTGCTGCCCACCTTTTTGTGTTGGGCTAACAGATGCTTGTCTAACCCTTTCTCTTTGCGTGCTTCTCTGCCCATCTTCCAAACTGGTCACCACTCCGCGCCAGGGAATGAGGGAGGATTCTCACAGCCCCATTTCCCAGCCTTTTCCATGCTTGGCTTGCTTTGTTTTTGTCACGATCATAAACCCCCCTCTTAAGGCCTCTCCGGCCTTTTCCCGTTTAGTTGATTTTGTGCATCTGCCTCCTATCCAGCCCCTCCCTATTCAAGCCAGACGCTCCTGCCATTCTGGGCTCAGTTTTGGAAGATGGACGCTCTGGAAGCCCGCCTACCAGCAGGTCCTGGATTGGCCCGACGGCATCGGCTTCGCAACAGCGTCCTGACCATCTGGGTCTGGGGCTTTTATTCCCACTTTTATTTTAACCCACTTTTATTCCCCATCCCTGCACTGGATCCCGTTCCAGTTTTTAAACCTTGTCTTGTCTCGTTTGGATTACCCGGCTCTGGACTTTTGGACTACACCCTGGAATTCCCTTTGGACTCCCTTGGACTTATACGCCTGGACCATGCCCCCCCCCGAGCACCAGTGCACAGTCGTCACGCCCCCCTGTTCATCAACCGGTCTCCTCCCCGTGTCCGTTTCTCTTCTCTCCGGATTCTACCGTCTGCATAGGGTCCTGATCTACGCTTCTTGACAGTTTTGTGTCCCGTTGGCTGGCTGTGTCTGCCTCCTCCAGCTACAGGTCAGCGGGTGTACTCTGCCACTCAGATCTAGAGTTTTGAAAGGGGAAAAACTCAATTAAAAACATGGTATCGGTATTCCTAAAAGTTACAAACATTTTCGTAGCTATTTCTTACTTGCCTTATATGAAACAGCAATACTAACAATAGGCAACTGAAAAGATCAGAGTTGTGAAATGGCAATCAATATTGTGATTTCATTTTATTGAATATATTTTATATGGTGTCTCCTTCAGGTGTGCTCAAAGCCCAGCCTGGACTCAAACTGCGTTCTTTCTTTTTTCACTTGAAACACCATATACAGCAACCAGGTTGGTCTGTCGCGCCTTACAGGAATAAGGAAGTCTCATGTTTGGTGTGTTCTATCAGGCTTGCTTTCTCTTTCTCGTGATTAGCCTGAATTAACGATCCCTGGAGGACAGGAGACTGCCGCGGATACACCAAGGTGAGTGACCACGTTCTTCGGCCCAGGAATCTGCCAGCCTGTGTTCAATCACAGCTGCAATGATTTTCACCAGTTCTGATAAGATAGGCAGTTTGTTGGGTTTTCGTTTGAGTCTGGGTCTGTTAGAGACTGAGCACTGTTCATCAATGCTGAAGGTCTTCAGTTTCCAAATGAGGAGTCGTCAGACTTGCAGTCCTGAGGACCTGAGTTTAGCTCTGGGAGTGTGGAGTTTCATGCCCTCCTCCCCGCCGTCGTCCAGAGTCATGCAGGATAGCAACGAGTGGTTAATTGTTAATTGGTTAATTCTGAATTGCCTTCATCGCTCCACTCTCCTCCTCACTGAGAGCTGGTATGTGGGAAGCATACTGGCGCACTTTGGCTGCCGTCACATCATCCAGGTGGTTCTGCACACTGGTGGCGGTGGAGGGGAGTCCTCACTTTGAGTGGAGTGTCCAGAAAAGGGCTATATAAGTGTAAGCACTTAGTCTTAGTCCTATTCTTATTCTTGAAAAATCAACCACTCCAGCCAGGGCTCAGTGACTTGTCTCTCTTGAAGGGAGCTGGGGTCTACCTCCTCGCTCTGCCCTGCAGAGGCTCTGGTGTCCCTCCGCTCTCCACTCTCCCAGACACATTGTAAAGGCAGCTGGCTCCCAGAACTGGACCCCCTAGAGTCAGGCGGCCGTGCAGGTGACCTAATGCAGTGTTTTGCATTTTTTCTTGCCTGCCGCGAAACTCAGTTGTCGTGATCCGTGTAGAATGTTTCAGTGCTATCACCTGACGGATCTGTTTTCTAAAATCCCCTACCCACCAATTCGCAGGTGTTTCTATGCAGGACCTGGCTGTGAAAAATCCCCAGAAGCCTGGGCTGGTCCCACACACAGTGCTTGCACAGAGGGAGCCCAGTTCCCGGCATTGAGCAGCGAGATGTTGAGGCTTGGGGCATTCCAGTTCAGGAGGCTCCAGCTGTCAGAGCTGCTGCGCTTTTCTGTTTCATTACTGGTGCAGTTTAAAGTTGGTGGTGGAGGGAAGGTTTGGGTTTCTCAGCTCCTGTTCATTCTTTAGATTCCCAGCTGCTATCAGACAGGATGCCAGTAGTAGGCTGATGTAGTTCAGGTGGGTAGCTGCGTCAGCATGCGTAGGCTGCAGGAACAGGTAAATAGGTTTATTCCATAATGAAAAGAGAAGAAAGAAAACACAACATTTTGGAGCCTTCTTCAGGTGTGAGGGAAGTAGTACGCATCATCACCAGCCCAGAAGCAAATGCCACAAAAACTATTTTTTGGGAATTCACAGTGCAGTGCCTAAGAAAGAGTCCAAACTGGTTAGGTTCTGTTTTCCCAGCAGAGCTGTGCTCCATTAGCTCCTCTACCTTGCTTTGGTTTTAGGACTTGAGAACACAATCACATGATCTGGCCAGTGGACAATTCTGGTGTGGC